CATCTTCTCCATGGGCTTTGTGTCTAGAACTCTGCACTACGATTCTTTTTTTTTTTTTTTTGGAAAAAGGGTCCCCCTTTTTTCCCGGGAGTGAGTGCCGTGGCGTTAGCCTAGCTCACAGCAACCTCAAACTCCTGGGCTGAAGCGATCCTACTGCCTCAGCCTCCCGAGTAGCTGGGACTACAGGCATGCGCCACCATGCCCGGCTAATTTTTTCTATATATTTTTAATTGTTCAGATAGTTTCTTTCTATTTTTTTTAGTAGAGACGGGGTCTCACTCTTGCTCAGGCTGGTTTCGAACTCCTGAGCTCAAACAATCCGCCCGCCTCGGCCTCCCAGAGAGCTAGGATTACAGGCGTGAGCCACTGCGCCCGGCCTGCACTACAATTCTTAAGCACACTCAGGTGTGAGGACCACTGAGGTCACGAGGAGCAGGGGAACACATTTACTGCTGGGCAGTCACATCACTCTGCCTGAGGATATCTACCAAATCCTTAGGAGGGGTGGGGAAGTCACACATTTGGTTGCCTCAAAGGTCTACCCCCAACCTCTGGTTCGATTTTTAGCTTCTGGAACCTTTCTATGTGTAAGTGGGTTTGTTCTTGTGAGGGATAAGCAAGATCACACACGGAAGCCTCTAGCACAGAGCCTGTTGTATAGGCGGTGCCAACACGCCAACAAGTGTTCGTTAGTTTCAAATTCAAATCTTTTTATTAAAGTCTCGTACACATTTACCAAATTGCTTGTTTGCTATAACCAGATTTCAAATGTCACCTCTTTTCAAGTGGATGTTTCCTGTTGTGGCCATACTGAACAGCTACTGCCTCTGGGTACTGGTTTCCTGACTTCTTAACCTTCCCTGGGGTAAAGTTCCAGTTCCAGCTACTAAATAACAAATAGCCCGAGAGGGAGATGGGTCATCTGTTCCATATTCTTATTGAGAGGAAACTGCACTCCGGCTCCTCAGGAGCAGCCGAGCTGTCCTGAATGCTTTCTCCTAGGGCCTTCCTTTGGTTGAAATGTTCGTGGGGTGGAAGGTGTGCTAAAATATTTCCTCAGTCATTTTCCTACTAAATCTGTTGACTTTGACTTAAAATCCAGAAGCCAACCCTACATGATAACACTGATAAAGTTTACACCAATTTTTAAAAAGTTTGCTAGTAGCGTTTTCTCAAATTTCATACTTATGGAATGATGATGAATTACATATTGGAATTCATGAAAGAACAAAGTCATGATAATCCAGTTTTAAAAGCAATTACTTCTTTTGTAGGATTCATTCATCAAGCAATTAAAACAGCAAGAAATCATTAACACCAGTAAAGAGTAGAAGGAAGACAGATACATCGCCTAAATTTTAAAATTTCTCACATTTCTGAGTGAAGCAATATATTCATCTTTTAAATCTTTGTTTCATATTTAAAGTAATTAAAAAACAAACACACACATGGTCATTCTATAAAAGAAATCGAGTGTATGTGAAAATGCTCCAGAAACATTCACTCTTTGGGGGTTAACAGATATTCTGTTTTCAGTGGCAAAAATATCCCTCCGAAACACATAATTACTGTTTTGAACAGGAGATGGTGCATTTCCCTATCACTCCATCAGTATCTGCTTCAGTTAGATTTACGGGGGGGGGGAATCAGTGTTCTCATGTAGCTCTACCATTAATCTGGAAAGTAAAAACAACTGCTTTAAAATTGTATGAGTGTGGAACAACAATCTAACAGAGCTTCAGTATTACTTCTTTTCGTTCAGGAAAGAGTACCCTAAGGGCAAATGAGTGGCTTTCCACAATGCGTGTTTCTGGCCCACAGACCTTGTCATTTCAATCGCATTTCTTCTCTCCTGCTCTCTCCCTCTCATTTACTCTGAGCCAGCCACAGAGGCCACAAAGGACTCTTGAAATCCTTATCTTCAATGAGCCCCCATTCTACTGGAATCATTCCATCTACAGATATTTGCAGAGCACCAACTATGTGGCAGGCACCGTTCTGGGCACAGCTAAGATTTAGCCCTGGCGAAATAAAATCCCTTCTTGGAGCTTACATTCCAGTGAAGGGAACAAAAGCATCTCTCCTCACAGAGAACAGGGCAGCAATGACACCAATCCTCCTGCATCTGCAGGTGGCCCAGATGCCACCTGCTTCTGCCATCACTTTTCCTCCAGAAAGGATCCTCCAACAGAGGCCTCAGTGGGAGGAGGTGCCCGTCCTTCCCTTGTTAATCTGCAAGCCTGATTTAGATCAGGCCCTAGGGGATGTCACTCGCCACTGTCCTAAAAACACTGCTGAGTGGCTCCTATCTTTCCTCTGGGTAAAGATTATGTTCTCAGCAGTATACAGGACTTACGGCTGTATCTGACCGATACCCAGGCAGAAGTGAGCCAGAGGGTAAACTGATCACGGTGGCTTTAGATAAAGATGACTATAAGGGCACTGGAAATACAGTGTCACTCCCATTGCAATCTATAGAAATGCCACAAAACAAAGTAATTTAAGATTCTATGCTTACACATCCTTTTTGGTTTAACCAAAGCCATATTTACAGATGTTTTCAGAAAAAGAAGTCACCAAATCCTTACTTAAATAGAAGCCATTAACCACCTTACACATGAAATAGAAAGGAATGAAGGCTTTGTTGGGAAGTGTTTCTCATGGTAACAGCAGAACGTGGAAATGAAAGGCGGCTGCTGCAGTTCACTTTGGAAGATCTAACAAACCTGCGGGAACAGGAGAAGGACCACACTGAAGTGGTGACCAAACAAAGCCAGACTTGTGGGTTCCCAGCAAAGGACTGGGGTGCTTAACCCTGTTGGTCAACATTTTGAAAATCAAGGGTTCCACCATAAAAATGTATATACACACAACTTTTGTGGACAACAAAAGGTGGCCCAAGATCTCCTAAAGACTTTTATGTTTCCTCAATTAAAAAAACCAAAACAACAACAACAACAAAACCAAGACTATGGCTTCTTAAGAGCAGAGATCAGAAAACTTCCTAAAGAGCCAGGCAGTTAATTTTTTTGGCTTTGCGGGCTATACTATCTGTCACAATGACCCAACTCTGCCCTTGTAGCTGAAAAGCAGCCACAGACAAAAAGTAAATGAATGAACGTAGCTGTGTTCCAATTAAATTTTATGTATGGACAGAGAAATTTTAATTTTGTAAATATTCCTCTTGATTTTTTTCAAACATTAGAAAATATAAAAACCATCCTAAGCTTGCGGACCATACGAAACTGGGGGCTGGGTCAGGCCCACAGCTGTAGATTGCCAGCCTCTGTCCAGTCCTTGTTTGTAACACCAGAGTCTGCAGCACAGGGCCTGGCCTGAAGCCATCGTAAGGATAGAGACATTTAACTGTCTAGTGGAGGCAGCAAGCAGTGATGGAAGGAACACTGGAAAGGAATGGAGACACATGCTGGGATTCCCTTTCTTGCCTCAGTTCTTTCCACAAACATCACCTTCTCTCTGGATTTAACTTCCGTAACTGTAAAACGGAGCATGCTACGAGATGATTTCTGAAGTCCCTTCTACCTCTGAGCCTCTATTATCCTTCAGGTATAACTAAGTAAGAGAAAACTGAATCTTGAGCAGGTCAACGATATGGAAAGTCACATCTGCAAACAAGTTCCCACATGTCAGGTGAAGGCAACACTGGAGCAGGATGTCGCGGCATCTGGGTCAAGCACGTATCTGAGAAACAACAGCAAGACGGCAATTTCCGGTCCAAAGGGAAACCCCAGATTTCAGTTTATATCCCGCTTCATCGCTACAGGAGGGCATAAGCCAAGATGAAAACTTGTCGAACGCACCACAGCGAGACAGTTGAATAATGTCTTAGGTGAATACCTCTCTTCAGAGGCAAATAGTTCCCCAAACAAACCCACGCCATTTTGTATACTATTATTCCACTGAGCTTGGGTTGAGGAGACACACACAGGCAAAGAGGCAACTACAAGAACGCAACACGCAGGGCAATGAGAGAAAGGGGCCGGTAGGAGAGTCGGAGTCCACGAGGCGGATGAGGAGGAAGGGCGTGCGGCTCAGACACACAGAGCACACCTGCTATCCACGGCAGTGGGGGGCATCTGCACCCCTGGCCAAGAATTACACAAACGGATGGAAGCTTTCGACAGTCAGTAAGCAGGGAGACCTAGCAGAAAGCTACGGGAGGTAAGAAGGTGCCTGGGCCTGAAGTGAGGCTTGGATGAGAGAAATAACTAACAGAATTCTTTGAGATCTGGCCGCCAGTGAGGCGTGGCGAGTGACGAGAAGGCAGCCCTCTATGCAGGTTCCCAAGGGTGCTGTCTTGGGAGACCAGCAGGTCATGGCACAACCAAGACAGCTGCAGAAGCCAGGAGCAGGGGCAGGCGTGACAGTAAAACAGAAAATGCCGTGTGGTGTGCGGATTCCTACCCTGGCAAGAGGAGCGATGGCGTCTGAACAGTGCGTCAACGCAGAGAAACAAGCCAAGCTCGCCAAGGCCCCGCTGGGATAAAGATACCCTCACTGAAAGGCATTTCTGGTTACTCAAATGGGTGAGCAAAACAAGGATCAGGACTTATAAATCAATGCTGGCCAAACTCAGGAAATGCAGGTGGATGCTTAACTCAGGGCCTAAGAGATGAAGAAAGGTAGACAGACAGCTGCAGAAAGAAATGCGCGGTGAAGAAATTAACAACCATAACCTATATTGTTTCAAGCAAGTCAAAGTGGTGGCAGAGTTTGTGGATGGTGAATTAAACAGAGACAGCTAGTGCTGATTTAAGAGAGAAATGCCAAAGGCTTCCATTCAAGTGAAGAAAGGAGAAACTGGCAAAATCTCTCAAAGGCTCCAGTAAACATCTGTGAGAATTGCCCAGACTCACATTAGCTTGAGGCCTGCTCTCTAGAGCGGGACCCACACCCCCTGGGGATCATCACAAACTGAGTGGCAGCCCAAGGCCACAGACAGAGACACTGCCTCCTGGGCAGCTCACCCAGACACTTACCTTTCCCGTTCACGGCTAAGCCCGTGGCCATGGCTGCAGTCACAGGGCCAGGCACCTGAGGCACTAGTGGGTGTATCCGGGGCCTGCTCCCCATCCTGGCCCGCTCCGCACCGGGGCCCAAGAGAGCTCCGACTGGCTTCTCCGCTGCCACCTCAGGCGCCACCGTGTCTTCCTGACCCTGCTCGACGGGGTCCAGCTTCTCAGGGCTCTCGTTCTGAAAGCCGTCCACCGCGGTCCTGCTCTTAATGGGGCTCTTAGGCACAAGTATCTTGATACCTGACTTTGCTAGGTCCATATTCTTCCTGCTTGAGAGAGATGGTGCTGTGTTTTTCCTGAACTTCTGGCTGGCAGCAAACAACTGGCTGCTTTTGGGCTCGTGGTCTTTGCCAATCACTAGCGACTTGGGAGAGGTCTTAGAAAAGTTGCTGTTGGTGGATCTGGAAATTTGTTTCCTAGCATTGTTCGGAGAGGTCCTGTTTGTTCTGGTTAGTGTGCTTTCTTTCTGCTTTTCGGTGTGGCGCCTGTTGAAGTCGTGGATATATTCCTCACAGTTCACCAGGTGCTGCTCTGGCTCCCACGTGTCGTCCTCGCTGTCATAGCCTTTCCACCGAACCAAGTACTCTGTCTTCCCTTTTTTGTTTTTCCTTTTGTCAACAATCCTTTCAACCTGTTTACAAAAGAAAACAGTTTTATTTTTTTAAAAAATCAAACATTATTTGGAAAAGGTACAAGCGTAATAAGGAAACATCAAAAACAATAAAATACCATGACAGATAATAAAAATGATCTTTTCCTCCCCAACCCCAATCATCTGAAAATAAAATAGCAATAGAATCCTTGGGATTTGAGCAATTTCCTTGAAATTAAGTCAAAAAAATGCTAAAATTTTATGCTGAGAGCGTGTGGATGTACTATAGGTAACTTACATTTTTGTGGTTCAAAGGGGCTCTATTGTTATTTCTACATTGCAGCCTGCCCACCTGAGTTGGTTTTCACAATTATGACTGGAGTAGGGCCAGTCACCTGCAGCTTTGTGCCTGGTCATCTTCAGGTTACCAGCAGCAGACATCCAAGCAATAGCCTGGCAGTGGTGACCAACAACAAGCTATGAGGGACTGAGAACCTTCTGTGGCGTGGAACTGGCTCACTGAAGAAACATATGATCTCTCACAAAAGTATCATTCTGAAGCACTCAGAACTAAAAAGGTCAACAGACAACACAATACTTTATCATAATAAAATGGTCTAGAATGATCAGGTCATTTACTTTCAAATCTTGGTTTTAATTAACTTTACGCTGACATCTTTAAAGGAAGACGCTGTTAATCTTTGAATATGACGATCAATACATTCTTAATCAAATTTATCAATTCACAACCTTGCCTTTAAGCATGTTATTGTTACTACAACCTTAACATCCCAAGTGTAAATGGAAGGGAGATATTCTACGACTCAACACGGACAACAAAATATCTGCTGTAATGCCCCCATGTTATTGGAGAAATGCCTAGATTCTGTTGTTACATTGCTGTAAATATAAAAGCCATCGGCCTGCACCTGGAGGACCCACATCTTGTGGGCAGAGGCCAACACAGACACAGAGCAGCTCTTTAAGAACACAAAGGTCGAAGCCCATTAATCATCAAGAACATCGGTACATTTCTAGCACAGTTACAGGCTAGGTCAGACAACATAACAGTGTGCCTAGTTCCCAAACATCCCAAAACGGAGGATAACGAGTAAAACTGTAGACGCTTGCAGAGAATGGGAGAATACCTCACTCCCATGATTTCCCCGTATCTCAAAAAAACTCTCCAATATATCTTCCTGAGATATGGAAAATTAAAGTCCTTAACTATAGAACACCCTAAAATTAAATATACATATTGCTTCCATGCAAAAAGGATTAAGAATAGAAAAGCCTTGTCTCATTGATTAAGGCAGATTACATGTGTAACAGACCTTCGCAGAAATTTCCACACAAATCAATTTCATGGCAGGAAGTTTAAAAGTTTTAAATGCAAGGGGTAAAGAGATGAGGTCTTATGGGAAAGCTATGTTTAATGCCCTTCCTTCCTCTAAATAAATTTCAATTCCAGAAGCATACAGTATACTAAACCACAGCACCCCTTTTTGCTTTCCTTCATTTACTCAAAGCTGAAGCAGGCGTCCCCTCCCTCCTTACCTGTGCATCACTGGCCTCAGGGCCAACATCCCTGGAGCCCTTTGGCTGCCAGGCCCCCGTCCCTCCTCCGACACTAAGAAGAGGAATGCAACACTAGTTTAGTAGCTCCAGGTGGGTGCGTGTGCTGGGTTTACGTACACTCAGTGGCCAGACACCTTTAGACACTGGGAGATGGCAGTCACAGGGGACACATTAGACCAGGAGTTGGTAAACTTTATGTAAAGTGCCAAAGAGTAAACATTTTAGGCTTATGGGCCATTCAGTCTCTCCAACCACTCAACCCTGCTACTGTAGCAAGGAACAGCCACAGATAATACTTCCATAAATCAGGTGGCATTAAACAAACAAACCAAAAAAACCCTCTATCATGGACACTAAAATCTGAATTCTGTAATTTTCATGCATCATAAAATACAATTCTTTTGATTTTCTTCAACTATTTAAAAATGTGAAAACTATTCCTTTCCCGCAGGCGGCCACGGTTTGCTACCCCTGCATCCAACTGTGCAAGAGTGATAAGATGTCCACGTGCAGGCATGCTGCTCCGCTAATTCTTGGGATGGAAATGGTCTGCAAGCTGACAGAGACATGTCTGACAAACATGACTCTGAAGTGGGAGATCTACAAGACAGTCACACAGACTAGACATACGGTAGCTGGTTTAGTCCAACACACACCACCAGGTGCCAAATGTTGACCTCAGACTCAACCGGGGACAAGAGTTCGCCCCAACTGAAGGACAAATGTCCCTCCCCCTTTGAAAAGTGAAAGTCTTGTTAATTAATCTAGTCTGGTGGCTAAAATACATTAATCTCCCACAAAAAGGCATTGCCTGGGTTCAACAAATTGTTATTGGAATAATAAACCTAAAATTATTTCCTGAGCACTTTTATGGTGGTGGAAGGAAACACCTTAACCACAAGACAAACATAAATACATCTTTCTTCAGCTTTTCAGTCCCTTTCCCTTGAGTCCCCCCTGCCCCCAGCCCACCACATAACTGTTTCTAAAATCTGTCAATGAACTCCAACTATGTGCAATTATCTTTCTAGTTACAGAATTTCAATGCAAGGAATTTCATACAAAATAAACTCTTTATAGATGATGTAAAGTATAGAACTGCAGATAAGTTAAACATTTTTAAAAACCAAGACAAAAATGAAAGAAGGACGAAAGGCATGAAGAAATCTCACCCAAATCACCTTGGCACTCTTTTTTTGCATTAATGTTACCCATAATCACACATGGAGTAAAATTTTAATCGGCAAATCCAAATCATAATAGCCTTCCTTGTCTTTACATAGTAAGCTGACCAAAGTTCTTTTTGTTAGGATTTCCTTCTAGAACTCAATAAAACATGGCTTTCCTTAAAAGTTCCTACAAAGTTCCCTGCTGGTTTGCAAAGCAATGAAATTAATCCAGAAGGATCATTCCAAATACCTAACCCACCTGCTTGATTTACCTGCCTTGAAGTACACTCTAACATCCGTAGGCCCAGGAATGTGCTGAAATGTGTTCAGGGTTGCAGAAGACAAAAAGATAAGGACAGACCAAAGATTCACTAACAAATGAACAAAAATCCATGGAGGAACCCAAATTGGTTAAAGAGCTCAGGATAAGAAGAAGAAAGAGTAACTCTGCTATTGTTGCAGTTAAAATACAAATCAAGGTAAGGCATGTAAATACGCTGGCTTACAAGAAAAAGACCAAAGTTTCAAAATAATCCCAGTAGGCAAAGTTTAGCACATCACATAATTACTAATAACTGTGTCAGCAGCTGTGCTGGTCGTCGCTACTTGCTCTGATTCCTCCCAGAATAGTGTGAGTAGGCCACCAGGACAGACTGGAAACCACAAGCAACGCTGAAAACTTTTTTCAGGTTTGGGTCTCATACCACTGGCTGGATAATTTGGAACAACAAAGCATCACTAAAAAGAAAAAGAATAAATACAAACTCAGCTTATAGCAAAGAATTCTGGTGACCTTTAAAATGCTCCATAGATGAGAAAGGTACGTTGTTCACCAGCCATCTGAAATGTTAAGTATTAAGAACAAGAAAAGTTATCTTAACGTCTAAGAACAGTTTTTAATGATTTTAAAAAGACAGATGGTTCGATTGCCAGAAATGAAGGAATAATACAAACGTTTGAAGACACTGAAAAGAAATCGAAAGCAGGCAGAAACCGAAGGGAATCAGACCCTTGAAACAGGGAACCACACCAGCTTCTGCCGGGAGCATTCCCACGTCTCTTGCACAGGACTGATAATAACTCAGGCAGAAAGCGTAGTCCTACAAGCCTTAGGTGTCAACTGTAAAGTTGGGAGTTGACATAGTGGCTAGAAATTCAGAAAGATCATAGACAGGAGGGCACACAAAACACCTATCATATCGACCTCTTCAAATCCTGGGCACACCCCTGCATGACAGCACACCAGTGGAAAGCAGCAATGGTGTGTTGGGGGTTCCCAAGACTACCCCTAAGTTCGATGATTCACTAGAAGGGCTCACAGGACCCAGCACATTGTCCCACTCATGGTTATGACTTATTACAGTAGAAGGATACTAAGCAAAATCAGAGAAGAGAAAAGGTGCATGGGGTGAAGTCCAAGGGAAGCCAGGCATAAGCCTGCAAGGGTCCTCTCCAGGGAAGTCACATGAGACACACTTCATTCCTTCAGCAACAAGTTGTGACAATAGGTATGAAATGATGTCTGCCAGGGAAGTTCACCAGAGGCTCAGTGTCCAGGAATTTATTTTGGGCTGGTCCCTTAGGTACCCTCCTCCGCCCAGTGTATACCAAAATTCCAGATTCTCAGACGGAAAACAGGTGTTCAGCATATAAACCATACCAATGAACATCAGATGTAAGCTTAAAAAAAGACAAAGACCAGGAAAACATAAATCAGTTGGTGGACAGGGAATGGGAGAAGAGGACATTACATACAGGGCCACAACAATGGAGGCCAGTAGACAAGGGAATACATCTTCAAAGCACTGAAGGGAAAAAACCCCTCTCAACTTAGAATTCTATGTCTGAAAGAAAAACGTCTCAAAAGCAAAGGTAGAGTTCTATTTCTGTATGGAAGCAAAAAGAGCTCTGCAAACACACTTCCAACCAAACAAGCAAAGCTGGTGAAAAACATGAAAAGAAAAATTAAAATCTCTGTAAATTGTCCGAAGGGCATAGAGCAAATGACAAACATTTATTCAAGAAAATCTACTAACACTCGGCAAGAACTAAGTTTGTGGCTTTTGAGCCATGACTCACCTTCCTGCCCCATCCTCCAGCTTAGTGCAACAGGAGCTTACTTCAGGTGGGTGCATCGGCTCCCTCTCCCTTCAGCTCTCAAACAAAGCTTACTTATCTCAACAGGAGTGGCAGGCCACCAGCACTTCTCCTCTTCTTCACTCAAAGCTGAAGAAAAAAGGTGAAATCCAACCCCTACCCATAAGGAGACTCTACTCCAGGGGCAGCATA